TTCAATCACATTGAGATCCGGGCTATTAGGGGAAAGTTGCATGAACTGGAACTTACAGTCACGCATCTTTTCTGAAACCTAAAAGCAAATAGTTAGACTCCTTAACTGAATAAATTTACTAATCTCTCGTGAAACATGACACGGAGCGTTATCTTGAAGAGCGCTAACTTTTCCAGATGATTTTTCATGAAATTCTGGAAAAATTTTCGTCAATACTGATACGAATCTCATGAATATATTGGGTAGAATAATCCCTCGTAACAAATAACCGAGATGGCAAAGGTCCATGGAAATAATTTGGGATAATTCGTGAGTCAGTCCTATTAGAATATATTGCGTTTTCATACTTTGTGAATTTTGCGATTTTCATGTTGATATTATTTAATTTTGGCAACCAAATTCTGACAAGTTTAATTGACAATCATGGAGCCAAAAAGCTGCGCAGATCGAAGTAGAGAAGAGATAAATTATTGTTCATTCCTAAGGCACCATTCTAGGTGATAAATATAATGAAAGTCAATTTGATCGAAAAGAAAATTTTCGAGTGCATCACAATGAGCCAGTACTGTACAGGCCAACCCTCTCGCAGAGAACATAGCCAACCAAGGGAAAAGTTTTAACAGGGACATAGGGACATTCCATGGTCCAAAATTAAGAAGAAATTCTTTTTTCTCTTTGTTTGTTTGTGAGAAAATGCACAAGATAGGATCTAGACAAGTTTCGGTGGGATTTTACACGAGAAATTTAGCGCAACGGAGTGTGTGTAGGCCCGGAAACTACGACTTATCAGTTTTGCGTGCGACGGGGTGGTCAAGATCTGTGAGAATCCTTTCAGCAAATTTGACACAGGAAACTCTGAAATAGGAAAAAAGAAAATGTGGCTGATAATAGTTAGACCTCGGTGTAAAACTTTATAGTCCCGACGAAGTAAGCCAGAGAAACAACTGTGGAACAGTAAATTACGATGGAGAAAACACACCGAAACACAGAGATAAACATAACCAACAGACTGGGGTGCGCGAAACTGCCTAAGCTTTCAAATTGAAAATAATAGGCGCCACAGCTTACCAGTGCAGTTGTTGATACGGGTCGACCAATGAAGATTACTAGCTATGGTTACACCAAAATCTTTGATGAAGTTCACCCTAGGTTAAGGATTGTTATTTATCACTGTAGGGTCTGTTGGATATGGAGAGCAAGCAAAACTGTACAAACATTCATCACATTGACTGGGTTTTAAGTTCAGCCCCCAATGACGAGGAGAACGGCTGCATTTGATCAAGACGGTCGGTGCACGAGCTCGAATTGAAGGCAGAAAAAGGGGTTCGCACAGTACAACGTCATGTGCGTAAGATGAGAGAGACAAGCTGCTTTTGGATTATTAAATTATCAACTTGTCAGTATGATTGACAGGCAAATCTTATCTTCGGTTACAACAGTCTGTGCACACAGAGAGGAAGGGTTTCGTGGGGTTAATCATTGATCTCTCTGTCGGCATGTTAGTTGATCTATAGTATTGGGTTACTTAATTCGTGGCGATGACCACGTGTGAGCCCAAACGAGCGACTTCTCCTTGCATAGAGATGATTCAACGTCTGGGCAGTGCATTAAATGATAAACCAATTGCATTTTTCCATGACCATGGAAGCTTCTAGTATTTGTACTTGTATAACTTTTGCCAGCTGAAATATGCTTACCTTTCAGTTAAAATTTGTACACTGGTCGTCACACCGAAGAATAAACAAATTCAACAGAGTGCTGTGTAAAAAAACGAATGTCTCTAAAGTTTGATTCATTAAACTAAAGATTGATGTAATTCATTCATAACTCGTTCCTTGTTGGTCAAGATACGAGCCAAATACGGTCAAGTGGAGTTTTCGTAAATGTTTATTCGGGAGGGTAGGTACCGATAAGAGGAACGAATGATCGAGTGCGAGCGACAAGAATATAAGTCAAAATGCAAAGGATGGGTGGGTTCGTTTAAAATCTGATTGGCAAAGGTCATGCAAGACTTCATATGACCATCAATAAGTTCTGCGATTAATGACTCGGCAGAAATTAAAGATGCATGGCTTATTATCATTAATCCATGACGGACAGTTTTAAAGTCTTGTTTCAATAGACCCGGAAACACTACAAGGGAGCAGTAAAGTAAAATAGGGAGAACTCATTGTTTAAGTAAAGGGAACAAACTTGTTGGGGAGTGCGAAATTGTCTGAGCTTTCGGAGCTGAAACGAGAGGCACCAAAGTTTTCCCATACGGTTCTGAATGCGTGTCGACCACCAAAGACTATTATCGATAGTAACACCCAGATATTTGGCTGAGTTCACTCTAGACAAAAAAGCTTACAATTAATGATTACAGAGTCTGACGGGAATGTAGAGCGGGAAGAACTAAAAATGCACTCCAAGCACTTTAATGTGTTAAGATTAAGGCCAGACTGGTTTGAAAACTGTTCGATTCGGGACAGATTTTCAGTGAAGGAAGAGAATTCCGACGGAGAAGAAACGGTCTGACATAAAGCGACATCGTCAGCATACTTTTAGATATGGTGTGAAACTGAAAGATCACTAATGAAAGCAGCGAAAAGATACGGAAAGAGAACAGCATCTTGAAGCACATCAGAATTATTGCATAGGGACTCGAGGTATTCCTGTCCAGCTTTGTGCACTAGATTCTTTCGGTGAAATAATCAGAAAGCCATGAAAGCAGCTGTCTCGAGGTGTCAAAATATTCAAGTTTAAAAGGGGGATGACCGGGATATA